AATGGTTCAATCTATTTTCAGAAACTAAAATTTCTATTTTTTATGTGATCCACATTATAGAATAAGTGCTAACCTTTTGACGAGTCCCTCTGCAATATCAAGAAGCTGGATCCAACTAATGCGCTCGACTTGCTCTGCAAATATATACATGGTTCAGCCTTATTTTTAGAAATTAGGATTCCAGTCACAGTTGCAACTCCAACACCAAAAAGAATTGACTATTCATTTTCTGTAAGTCCAGACAGAAACAAAGAACAATGCTTACCTGATAGAACTCAACAGAGTTGAAACCTAGACTCTGATTGAGAAGTCCAATTAAGATGCCATTGAGCACTCCAAATCCCATGACGGTCCTTGCGAGGTTTGTGCTTAAAGGGCTTCATACATAATGCCACATGAAGTCAATAGAATAGAACAAAGATGCCAGCTTGTCAACATGGTTGCTGCACAATAAAGAATAAAGGTGTTCTTATTTGTAGGGATAACATTTCTGCCAAGTTATACATGACTTTCAAAGATCAGTAAACTGAATCCGAAATTTACATGCTGTAGAGGAAAAAAATGGCAGTCATAATATGAGACACAAAATTATACTACAAACAGGGGATATGCAAACGTCAATGATCTGAACAGAAGCTCTAAATAAATAAATAAACATCAATTCATAAGAATTGAAACTCACTGCCTCCAGTTCCATAGACCAATACTCTGTTTTATGTGAGTACAGTCTTCTAACACGTGAAAAATTGCAAGGCTCGACCAAATTCAGAGACATATTTATCAGCAACGCAAGGTTCACCAACCACACAAAGTTAACTGAGAGTTCCATAATGTTCAGGGACGTTCACTTTCTAAGCTGTTTGTTCATGGCAACAAAAATAACACCGAAGAGAGTTCCTGTTGGATGAAAGGGCATGAAGCTCGGGTTGCATTCTCTGTAAGATCGGAAATAATTGAACACATAAAATTTATCAATGCCAAACAGCACCAAACTATAGAGTAACACAAATGCAAATCAGATCAGGATTTAAGCATACCTGTGGATGGGACGATTCAGCACCATCAAGCGTCTCGGGGTATGGAGGAGCAACTTGATAAAGACACATCATAACAGATGCAAACCCACACAAAAAGCCAATGAGGGTCAAAGTTCTTTTTAGGTTCGCCAGTTCCGACTGGTAGATTTCAGATCTGTCATTAAAAAAATGTTATTACAGACAGGTACATGAGCATGGAAAGCCAAATAAGCAGCACTTATGAGTAGACCTAGGATGTATCTATATGTATGCAGAAGTGCATAATGATGAAAGTATACATAATCTGGTGCTTAAGCAATTTCTGAACAAGCTACAGGGGTGGCTTGCCATTGGATGTCTAAACATAGCCTGGTGCTTTCAAACATGCAAACCAACTTCTAAACACGCTACAGGGACTGTAAACCTTCCTTTTTAGAGTTCAGACAAATATGTCTGGTGCTTAAGAAACTTCTGAACAAGCTACAGGGGTGGCTTGAATTCAATGGCTAAACATAGCTTGGTGCTTCCAAATATGCAGACCAACTTCTAAACAAGCTACAGAGGCTGTAAACCTTCATTTTTAGAGTTCAGATAAATAACATCATGTATAAGCCTTACCAGTCAAAACTAAGTTACCAACTGAATATAAATTCGCATTAGATTGCTTTAAATATAGGAGGTTTTCTCTGTGGTAATGTATGTGAAGCTCTATACTGTTAGTGCAAGAGGTATACCTCACAGTAGCCTCAAGCAATTTCTGTTTCTCACAGTTACTCTGCATGGAAAACTTCAGCTCACCGACCTGTATACAAATAAAGTAATTCAGCTCACCGCTACGTGGATGGAAAAGACTAAGAACCATGCTCAGGTAGCCTGCCAATCACCTCTTAGATATGCTGGTTTATTGTGTGTCTGGATGGGGAGACAAATGGTGGAGCACAAGACAGGAGAAAGGCGAAAGCAAGATACTGGCGCAGATGGTGATGAAGATTGAAGACATGCTTCCAAAACAGAAGTTGGGGGCTATGGGTGGGGGAGATGGAGCTCTTACCACGCACGTCAATGATGTCTGCCTTCCTTATTTGTGGCATCCGCGATGCAGGGGACCATCTCAAGATCAAGTGATGGGCTGCTAGCACATGGCGACACCAACTCCAGACCAAGCACATTGCTGCCTTCCACAAATTCAAGACCGTAGCAGTGTGGCAGTATTCTTAGTAACAACATGGCTACAACATATCTTGGTTATCATAATCTCTTCTCAAATATATAAAGAATCAAAATAAAAGCTACATATTATGAAAGCACTTCAGTTTAATGTTTTTGACATGGTTCTGCAGAAAACACCAAAACCAAAGCTAATGTCGAAGCAGAAAATATCACCTACTTAAGATTACAATCTGGATGAACCAATCTGTACCTTCTTTTTGTTCATTCTTGATGCACATGTCAAAAGAAGGGATCTTAGTTATTTTTCTTCCAGTGAAAACCTGAAAATAGAGATGCATTATGTTAATTCTCTTTGCAAAAGAATAGCACCACTTCTCCACTCAACCCAATTTCCTTCAGATTCAATATAAGCTAAGATGAGTGATTGCTGCTAGCAAAGGAAATGCAAATTGTTCATCGAGAATCCAAGTAGCAGAAAGGTATCACGAGAGGGAGATGGGCAGTCTGTGAGTAGTATAAAGCAATCTATTTTTCTTGAAGATTGATTTAAAACTGAACAAAGAAATAAGTAAAAGGATAATTTAACAATGTAATGCTCCTAGATGACTCTAACAAAGAACAATCTACGGATATATAAATATTATAATTACGATGAATACAACTCTACCTTCTTCTTCTCCCAACGTCATATTCCCTCCTCCAACTATCACCTCTTCATCTCAAAGCAGGCAGATGAGCTCCTCCTAGACCAGCGGCAAGGCTTCCTCTCCTCTCCTCTTCCCTTCCCGTCGCCTGACCCGCTCGCTCTCCCTCGTCTCTTACCTTCCCTTCCCTTGTGAAAACGGGAGGGGGGAGGTTGCGGGCGGAGGCTGGCCGGAGGAGACGGGCGCGAGTGGCGGCGGCTGGCCGGGTGGAGGAGGTGCGGCGACGGCTGGCTGGGTGGAGGGGACGACGGCGCCTCCTTCTCCTCTTTCCTCTCTCTCTCTCTTTCTCCCTCCTCTCCTTCCATCTTCTCCCTCTCATCTTCTCTCTCTCCCGCAGATCGAATCGTGCGCCGCAGCTCACTCCGAAGGTGTCGTCCTCGGCCGCGAGGAGGAGGATGCAGGGGAGCCCGTCCTGCGCAAACCCGGAGCAGGCGTTGGAAATCAGGTTCGCCCGTGAAGCGCGTGGCCACGATGGCCTGCACGCGAGCGATGGGAAGGCAGGGAGGAGAAAGAGGCGAGGCAGTGGAGGAGTAGCAGGCGGCGGCGAGGCTCCTACGGCGTAGAAGAAGGAGGAGGAGGAGGAGGGAGGAGTGAGGGGCGTGGGGCTGGGTTTGATGCCGTTTTCGTCCCTCGCGCGGTGGTGATTTTTTCGCTCGTGTGGTGCGGTGCGCCCTCGCTCCCACGCGCAGCGCGGTGCTTTTTTCCCCTCGGGTGGTACCGTGCGCTCGAGGACTTCGTTGTGACTACCATTCTAGGAGGCTTTATATGTTAGAACCACTCTAGGAGGCTTTATATGTTAGATTTTGAGATATATCTCATCACGGTGAAGGAGGTGGTCTGAACTTTTTTTACTGATTAATTGGAAGCAAATGGACAGTTATCCTTTTGGCCATGCACTTGGTTAAGGTTGTGATATTCTGGATCAGTAACTCATATGATGCATGGTGTATGTATTCCAGGCTACTAATTGGCACCTAGGTAGATGACATTTTGTGAGTTCTAGGTAGATGCCATCTTTTGTAAAGAGTGGTACTATTATGTAAACTCTTTGATGTTGCTATTTATAATGATGGTGGTTGAAATATATATATTTCATGTGATTGTTTTCTAATTCATGAAGTGATTATATACAATTATTTTTTATAGTTTAATTTATACAGAACAATATTAATTTGCCCCAATAATGCAAAGCAGGGGAAGTGCCGAG